GCCCAAAAAAGGCTAATAAATTAAATAGAAAGAAAGATACAGATACAATATATGGGAGGACCCAAGCATGACACCCTACCCACACAAAAAACCACAAAAGGTTTCAAAACTAGAAAAAAACAAAAAATAAATTAGATACTAAAATAAAAAGCCTAATAGTGTCGAAATACATAGTATCAGGTGGCTAGAGAGTGACCCAATTTGGTCTTGCCTCTGCCTCTAGTTCTACGGAAGGAGCAAGCTAATAAGTTGGTAAGATGATTGTCATTGCCAGTAGTAACCAATGTATCATCGAGTTGGAGTCGCCCTCCATTCTTCTTCTTCCTCCTGGAATAGACCTACCATTCCTCATCCAAAGAATTAGTCTGATGGGGTGATAGAACTGAAGCAGAAGGAATACCAACCATAGTACCCACAATAGGTTCTAATATATGTGAAGTATGAGTGCCTCTACACCGGATACTTCCTGAAGAAGTGGAGCTACGAGGCTCTCCTGATTATCAGTATGAACACTATCATTTGTAGGTAATAGTTCATCAGTATTGTTTTCTATGGGGTTTGAAGGTTCTTGTATCACATCACTCGCAGTTACAGTAACAACAGGGGCAATAAAATCAGATACCAAAATCTGTCGCGTGGTAGCTTTCTCTCCAAGTGATAAAGATATATCCTTAGATCCATCCTTATTAACTTGATCTTTAGATTTCAAATTAGGGTGAAGCTTATGACATTTATCAAGAGTATGCCCAAACATCTTATAATAAGAACAATGAGAAGGTCTATGCTCCATGACGATTTGTTGTCAATATCCATTATGCATTGTGCTCAACCAAACTTTAGTAACATCAGACAAAGTAATATCTCTTTCCACAAGTATTCTGGCCACAGAAGGTCTAGTAAAGTTGAAAGTGGGTAGATCTAGCTTCATAAGGTCCCCAAGTATGACACTAATAGAGTAAATAACCTGATGATGAAAAAAGTACAGCTTGAGACCATACAGACTAAGCAATACCATTACAGTAGGAGGTTCATGATTGGAGTCAAAATCAGGAGACCACTTGATTAGTTTCATTGGTTTACCAACAATGTTAAGATATTTTTTGGAGAAAATACGAAAGTAGTCCTCATGCATGATTAACTGAATCAATACATGTCTCCCATCCATGAGCCTCACTTTCTACTTTCCTGCTAATTTGAGGTCATCAAATCTTTTCCTAATAACTTTCATAGTTGGGTGTTCCCACTGAAATTTCTCAATGTGAGCAAATTTGAATTTGTCAGTCAGGGTTGAAATTTCTGACACAGAGAAAAAGAATGTCGTCTTCCCACTCTTCTGCTTGGATTCTTAATAAAGGGACAATCACATGTATCATCACGATTCTCCTTATAACTTGAGGGGAAGATTACCCACAACGTGGGCAAAAAAGAGTTTGTCAGGTTCAACTGAAGGAGGAAGCTCCATCACAAGTCACAACAATGAGAAGAGCTGCAAGTCAGACAGAAGAGGTCGGGGCGAAGCTGCGTAGAAGAGAGAGTAACCGCAGATGACGACTGCATAGACGGAATCGCAGCTCGACCACACACATAAAGGAATCTAAACCGCAACATGACCACACACATAAAGGAATCGCGACACGAAGACGCCGCAGAAGCAAAGGTCCAAATGTTGTTCACAGTCGTCGTCGTCGAGTGCAAAGGCAAGGACGCCGAACGTGACGAACTCACGTGATACGGTCGCATTTGTCACCGACTGAGACGTCGACGACACACTCAAGCGTGCCCTAGGACAGAATCGCTAGCGTCTCGAATATATATATATATATATAAAGCCAAAAACCTTGTATTTCTATAATATATTATCACCTATTGGACTATATTTAAAATTCTCAAAAGAGATCATTTGAATTTTATTCAAGTTGCTTCGCTTTACTTGAATTCAAACAAAAAATTAATGGGCATGTTGATGGAATGGACTGTTAAGAGATAATAGATGTACCACATGTTTTTCAATATTAGGTCCATCCAAGAAAGTATCCAAAATTCTCAAAAGAGACCATTTGAATTTTATTCAAGTTGCTTTGCTTTACTTGAATTCAAACAAAAATTTAATGTTAAGGGATAATAGATGTAGCACATGTTTTTCAATATTAGGTCCATCCAAGAAAGTGCAATATAATATAAAAAGCACCACAAGTTTAAATAACATTGCTTGTATATACACAGGAGTTTGAAGGGGCTTGCACATATCACAATAGTAGTTACAGAAAAAGAAAATATGACAGCAATATTCCTATTGAAACAATGCCGACAGTAACAAATGCTTGTCCTGCTTCAAAAACAATGTCTGGCCCTTGATCCGGCAGGCTTTGCCAATCTGTCCTGTAATAAAACAAAATATCACCATGTATCACGATGCTTGAGCCAGTGAATAAATCTGGAAATGCTAGTATACAAATATTCTCAATTAACACAATCTATAAAACTAACTTGGATGCTCTTGATGACAAGTTAAAACAGAAATAAATAGAATTAAGGCACCTTAAGTTCGCTATCACAATGCTGATGTTGTCTTGTGAGCTCCGGTCCTGCAACCATAACCAATGTATAAGTTCCACAGAATGCCGGCCGAGACAAAATATATATGGACTTCTAAGAAAAAGGAGCTAGCATTATTGAGAATGTACCAAAGCGGCCTGAGCAAGCGCTTCACAAGCAAGCTGAAAAACAAAGAGCATAAGTTCAATTTCCACCAGAAGAAAACAGTACTGCAATTGAATTTGGATAAAGCATGTACCTGAACATCACCATGTTGACGAAGATGATTCCTAACAAAGTTTGCAGCATCAGAGCTGATATTGAAACCAATTTGTTGCAAGTGGTAAGTATTTGCTCAGAAATTATTTAAAATAAAAATTATTGATTGGAGTATCATGCTAAAAGAAAGTTCACTCTTTAGAGATATGGGTGGCGAACCTTTTTATATAGTCCCATAAGCCATCAGATGCTAACAAAATAAATTCCGCGTCAGATCCAAGCTGTACGTGGGAGACATCTGGAGTAGAAATCACCAAGTCGTCTTTAAAATTTATTCTGGCAATAGGACACAGAATTCAGACAAGAAACCCATTTGTGAGAGATTGCTGCAACTAAAAGGTACAACTTTACAGAGGCATCAAAATGCTAATTCTCCCCTTGGGAATCAAAACCGTGAAATTCCATCAACATTATCATCAAAATCATTATGCTTACGCTAACTATTTTGAGTCAGCTTCAAGAATCCTTATTCACCAACAGTCCTATTAAATATTACATGAAGTTTAAATCATGGTTTGTTCAAATTTTTAAAAACGTCTATTCTGTTGTCTCTTGATGCAAAATGGCTCGAGATTCAAGATTAAAATTTTATAATGCAAAATGGCTAGAGAATCAAGATTGAAATTTTATAATGCAAAGGAAAATTGATGTTCCAAAAATAACAAGTTCTAGATGTTTGATCTTGTTTTGTCCGTAAGTTATACAAAAACTTTATTAACACAGGAAAATAGGAAAGAGGTTGAGTAGAGAGTGGAAGAAAATGAACTATGACACACAAGAGGCTAAATTATAGAAGAAGCGGAATACTTAACTCTCCATAGGAACTAGGTTGGGATCTCGGATCACGAGGCCTACAGAGAGCATTGAATAGGCTATACATGTACGAAAAATATATAAGAAACGTGACTCATGTGGCCTTAGGAACTCGCGCTCAAACTACTAGTTGTTTGTCATACTTGAAGTATCTGGTTCTCCTGGCAGTAGACGCTGAGTGGCATTATAACCACAAGCGATTGTTTGGCTAACTCGGTCTGTGGAGTCCTTAGGTAGCATTTGTGTGAGTACCTCATGAGCATAGAAGATTTATCTCTTCTTAGTCAGCTAAAGAGCCCACCAAGATCCTAGCGAGCGTGTGGAATGAATCTGACTAGGTGAATCCTTCTAGGACCTAAGTAGTGTGTCATGAGCTCCACTAGCAAGCTCCCTTGTGGATCCATTTGGCAAATCTGCCTCGAGCTCGACTGAGTTCATCATGAGCCTAGCTTAACAATCTCTTCTCTGGCCTTGATTAGCAAGTGCCTCACCTTAATTTCTACTTAGGTGTTTCCATCCTTAAGGAAAGCTTTTAATTTCCGATTCTTATATATCATTGTAAGGAGACTAGAGAAAGAATAAAATAATGAAAGAAATCATAAGTAAAAAAGTCGAGTCAATACTTAACTCACCTTTTATCGAGTTCATCATGTTCGTCATCTGCTAAAGATAGATTAGCACAATAAAGGGCATTAAATACACACGAAAAAAGGAGGTCACAAAATTTAAGGAAAAATTAATGTAAATTATTATTTTTGATTTAAGAATGTAATTATATTGTCTATATCAATGTGGTTTTACTATCTTTAATCATCTCCAAATTCTTGTCGTGGAAGTTTGCAAGGTTTTGGTGCCTTTTTCTCCACCAAAAAAGCTCTACAACAGAAAAAAATATGGACAAAAAAAGGCTCACATTTCTAGAGAAGCTATGATATCTTAACATCAGAAAACGATGAGAGACTCACATTTCTACAACAGACTTGAACTCACTGCAATGAGTAAGAAGAGTGACGTGACCATCCCTGTTTTGTAGATGGCCCTAGTTGTGTTAGTAGTTGATCATTTTCCCAAGATGTAGTCTCCTTAGAGCAAGGCATTAAGGGGCGCATGTACATGTGGTGAGTGAAAAAAAAAATGTCCATATCTTTTTAGGCAATTTAGCTAATAAAAAATTATTTTATGCTTTTAGGCACCCCAACAACTATGGCTATCCTGGAGGCAGGAGTAGCCGCAGAGGTAGGGGAGGAAACTAATTAGAAAATAGTGGTGGAAGGTAAATCATTTTTTTATTTTTGTAATTTTGAAGATTGTTTTCCTTCTCTTCAATTTTTATTACTATGTAACCTCTAAAGAACTATTCTGTGAGAAATTTTAGGTGACAATCAGAGCCATGTTGCTGTTAACCCTACAGCTACTACGCTAACATCACGGGCGTGATTTGACTCATTATCTTCGTTCTCCAACACCAAATAGGAAAAGGCAGCCAAAGATGCTTAAGTTGTGAACTCTTTGAAACCTTTGAGGAGGCTAGAAGAGATGGTTGTCAAGTTGTCATTGTGTTTGGCATCTCCAACTAAGGGTTTGGAGAGTAGCCGTCCATTCTAACACACCGTTGGAAAACGACACCTGAGTCGCTGGAATGGTTGACCTGTCAAAGGAAGTCATGGAGATGTTAGCTCATATGGACTAGTTGAGGTTGTCCTTGACCACCGAACAAGATTAGCAGCTTGCAACAAAGAGGAGAGTTCCGTGACTGATTTTCCCTCACGAATGTGAGGATTGAGGTGACAGAAAAAAATAAACATCTTGGAGAGTCACCCAAATGTGAAGAGCATGTCTATCAGTGCTCTAGCATCCCTAGATAAAGTCAGTCTTTTGCTTGAAGCGAGTTTGTTCTACATTCTTTGGTGAAGACCATATACCTGTATACCAACTTTAGACTGATTCAATCTTTTGCTTTATGTAATGTAGTATCTAAATACAACTAAGAAGAGGGGTTGAGTTGACCTTGAGATCATAATTTTTATTTTCTTTTATCAAATTATATTCTAAGTAACCTACTTGTACTCATTGTAATGTTATTCAAATTTGGTGTACTTAATTTATAATGTAATATAAATTCCTATTCATCATATAATGCATTCTTACTTCACTTACTTTATTTGTACTTTCTATGTTCTACTGTTATGCTAGTGATGGACTCCATGACTGATTCCTCAATATTACTTTTGTAAGTTAATTATGCTGAGAGCCAGCAAGTGTTGGCAGACTACGAATTATAGATTATTGAAGTAGCCAAAGTGAAATGCTCAAAGTAATAAAATTGCCTCATGTTGTTCTAACTAAAAAAATGCAAAACGTTGATATCTCTTGAACAGTACAACTTAGTAATGAGGTCTCCTTTGCATTAAATGCCATCATTTCAAGAAAAAAAAATCTCAAAATGCCCCTAATTGAATGCTTCAAAAAGTGAACAAAAATTTTCTTATAAATATCTTTGCATTATTACCACAATCATTTTTTAAGCTATGCTCTCTTAGAATCCCACTACTTCTCACTCTATACTCTCTTCCTTCGTACTAATCCTATCTTCACCAAATGGTGAGCTCACCTAAAAAATATATGAAACAGTTTCAGGTCTTCGAGTATGTGAAGTCATCAAGGGTTACATTGATGATAACAAGTTACTTTCAGAACCTCTATGTGTTCAATGACTCACGCTTTCAAAGCACTAAAATAAGAAAAATGCCCAAGCACCTTCATCAACAAATTTTTTTTTTTTATAAAAAGCAGTCCCATATTGGCCTTTGCTTTCCACATTAACTAAAGCTGTTCAAGTTCAACAAATGCTATGGACTTTTGCTTGCCCAAGTTCTGTCGAACTCCATTACAAGCATGGCCTACTTCATCTGCCACTTGCAAGCATTGACGCTTCAGTGAAGCATCAACATCCTCTGCAACCTCTTCACAGTCAAAGGATTCAAGGATGAGCTTCTCCTTCTCATCCAACTACATCAACATGATCAGCCTTCTGAATAAGATTAATGAAAAGAAGATAATGCTTCATCAACTCTCTCCGCATTTGGCAAGTTCATACCAAGCCATTCACTGTCCTACACCTACCACTGCCCAAGCTATTCACGACCAAGTTGGTGATCTTGGGCGAATTGAGGAAGATCGGCCAAAACAAACACAAGTATCTAACTCCTAGCATTACAAAGTGCAACCTAGCATGTAAGTTATTTTTCTATTCAACTTTTGTGACACCTTTGTTTATTATTTGGGCTAATTATGACATGAATCATTTGTAGTGGATCCAATGCTTTTTTTAATATGAATCACCACAAAGTGATAACCTTTTAAAGGAAAGGACGAAGAAGAAAAGGGCTATGGAGATGAGGGTGATTGAATCAGAAGCTCAAGATTTCGCAAGATCGAGTAATATGGGGGGTCTACGTTATCCAGAGAACGTCAGTTCAAACTCTAATTCTTTCCTTTTCTGCTTTTCACATCTTCTTAACCTCCTCACTTGAGTAAGAAAGAACCCTTCGAACTGAAAGCCACTACCCCCAAACATCTTTCTATGACAACCTGCCCTACATCGTCACGAGTCACTTTCTTTTTTTGATGTTTAGTCACTCATCCAAGAAAAGTTATTCATCACATGTAGAGGACGAGTTAGCGAATGCTGAGTCACCTTTGAACCCTATTGATATTCCAGCGGAGGTGGCTCAAAAGGTTGAGATTGCACTAGAGCCTCAAACTAATTCAAAGATTACAAAGACGAATTCAGGGCGACAAGCTAGAATTACCATTTGTGAGAAGCAAGGAACCAAGAAGAATGAGAAGACGAGGAAACGACCAGGCATGGGGAGAGAAGTTGTTTAGCCACCAAAGATGATTGCGCAAGTTCATCCAAGAAGGTTGACAAAACCGCTGCCAAGTTCAAGAAAGAATCAAAACACTAGGTAGATTGACTAGAGCATTGATCTTTTTGCCCAGAACTCGATGTTTGATCATGGCTTAGTGATCTTTTCAGATTCACTTCAAGAAGAGAAATAATCCAAACAATTAAATAAGGGCATCAAACTGTAGTTCATCCTCTACAAGTGCAAGCATCACCTAGCTATCATGAAATTCTTGGTAGCCCGTTGGTCATATGTACATACCTCGGTCATTTGTTACTGCAATCAATTTGCTATACTAATTGACTGGAAAGAAAGAATTAATAAGACAGGATAAAAAAGATAGCATGAATAGGGTTTTGGAAGAGTCTGCACTAACGAATTACCAAGAGCTTAAGTACACACCTCAGAACGACTTTGCCATAGCAACGCTGACTACACAAACAGAAAATAAACAGTTGAGAACTGAAGAAACACTTCAGGAATTCACCTCATTAAAAGCATAGATTAAGATAATAGCTGAGAACTTGAAGCTACCCAATGAGAGACCATTTGTGA